GCATGCAAGGCAAGCGCTCTACCACTGAGCCACCTTCCCAGCCCTTCCCTTCCCTTTTTTTATTTTGTGCTATAGATTGAGCCCAGGGCATCACTTGCTATACAAGCACTGTACTATTGAACTATAACTTTGTCCTGACCGTTAAATTTCTTAGTATCTTAAATCCTGTTGTGATTCCAGAAAACATATAAATTGAAAAGTTAACTTTTTTTCTTCTTCAATGCTGGGGTTCAAACACAGGACCTTAGGTATGCTTGACAAGCACTCTGTTTTACTACTAAATTATATCCTTAGCTCAGTTAACTTGTTGTAGGACTTGAACTCAGGGCTTGGGTGCTGTTCCTGAGCCTCTTTGTGCTCAAGGCTAGCACTCTACCACTTGAGCCACAGTGCCACTTCAGATTTTGAGTAGTTAATGGGAGACAAAAGTCTCATTGAGGGGCTGGGAAGGTGGCTCAGCGGTAGAGCACTTGCCTTGCAAGCCTCAGGCCCTGGGTTCAATTCCTCAGCACCACATAAGCAAAAAGAAAAAAGCTGGAAGTGGCGCTGTGGCTCAAGTGGTAGAGTGCTAGCCTTGAGCTGAAGAGCTGAGGGACAGCACCCAGGCCCAGAGTTCAGGCCCCACAACCGGACCCAAAAAAAAAAAAAAAGTCTCATTAAGACTTTTCTGCCTGGTATGGCTTTGAACCATAGTCCTTAGATCTTAGCCTCCTGAGTAGCTAGGATCACAGGCATGATCCACCAGTGCCCAGCTTACTTTCAGGCTTTTGAACCAGGATTTCTAATACTGAGATTTTTTTTTCAATTGTAGTACATTATGTTAGCCATCGTAAATATAATGGATAATATGGAACATTAGATGTTTTGTCCATTTGTTTCAGTAATCTTCCCTGGATTACTTGTAGTTACAGTATCAGACTTAGGGACTTCAGTATTACTAGGAATTGTTGGGTAAAGGAACAATATGTAGTATTAGAATAATATGAAGTATGTTTATGAAGCCACATTAAATGTTATTGGTTTTTTTTAACTGTATTTTTTTGTCTTTTTTTTTTTGGTACTGGGGATCGAACCCAGGACGTTGCGCTTGCTAGGCAAGTGCTTTGCCACTGAGCTACATCCCAGCCCTTAAATGTTATTGTTATTGCCAATACTCTTTGGATCTTATCATTAGGAGACTTGAGATGAAAAAGTAGAAACAAATGTTGGGGATTGGTAAACCTGAAAATTAAAGAGCATCCTTGAAACCATGAGATTTGTCTGTATGTACAGAAGAATAGACTTCAGTAAAGGCTATTGAGATGGAAGCATGTCTTTGAATATGATATAGTGATTGTAGAATTGAAAGCAGGGAACATTGACTTCTTTTAGCTCAGAAATAGTAAGTGTTCATTTAATATAGCAACACATATAAAATACATAGTAATACATAAAGAGTCATCTGTTAGTTGGGCACCAGTAGCTCATGCCTGTAATCATGGCTACTTAAGAAGCCAGCCAAGGCAGGAAACCCTGTGAGACTTTTATCTCCAGTAAACTACTGTGAAAAGCTGGAAGTGGGGGCTGGGAAGGTAGCTCAGTGGTAGAGCGCTTGCTTTGCACGCTTGAGGCCCTGGGTTCGATTCCTCAGCACCACATAAGCAAAAAGCTAAAAGCCAGAAGTGGCGCTGTGGCTCAAGTGGTAGAGCGCTAGCCTTGAGCTGAAGAGCTGAGGGACAGCGCCCAGACCCAGAGTTCAGGCTGACGACTGGACCCCCCCCCCAAAAAAAAAAAAAGCTGAAAGTGGTGCTGTAGCTCAAGTGGTAGAGCACTCACCTTGAGCTGAAGAGCACAGGGACAGCACCCAAGCCCAGAGTTCAAGGCCCACGACCGACCCCCCCCCAAAAATTCAAATAACCATACATACAATTTTTGATCATATTAAACAGTATAGTATTCTGGATTGTTAAATTGGTATTTGCATCATTGTCTATCATCTTAGGATCCACTTCACAATTCAGTATTCTTTTTTTTTTTCTTAGGTTTTACTTAGGTTTGGGCTTGTCATCCTAGCTATGACAGAAAGATGAGTAGGAAGATTATCCAGACTAGCCCAGGCATTAATGTGAGACCCTATCTGCAAAATAACTAAAGGAAAAAGGATTGGAGGTATATCTCAAGGGTCTTGCAGTTTCTTCCTTGTGTGTGTATCTTCTCAAGTAGCTGGGATCCACCAGGCCAGCTATGTGGTTTGTTGAGAATCTTACTAACTTTGGTCTCTAATCATGGTCCTCTGGATCTCTGCCTCCATGTAGCTTAGATTACAGGCTTCAACCACTGTACTCAGAATAGACTATAGTTTTTGTTTTGGTAGTACTGGCTTGAACTCAGGGCCTCCTACATACTAAAGCACTCTATTACTGATCTCTATCTCCACACTAATAAAGCTATCTTAAAAAAAATCAGATTTTGGGTCCTGTATTGTAGCATACGCCTGTGATCTGAGCTACATAAAGTGGAAGGCTGGAGGTAGGAGAAATCATAGTTTAGGGAAACTAGCGAAAACATGAGACTTGGGCTGGGAAGGTGGCTTAGTGGTAGAGTGCTTGCGTTGCATGCATGAGTCTGTGTCCCGTTCTTCAGCACCACATAAATAGAAAAAGCTGGAAGTGGCACTGTGGCTCAAATGGTAGAGCACTATCCCAGAGCTGAAGAGCTGAGGGACAGCACCGAGGCCCAGAGTTCAGGCCCCACGACTCACAAAACAAAAACAAAACATAAGACTCTGTAACAGTAATAACTAAAGCAAAAGAGCTGGATGTGGGTCAAGTGATGGTGCTGCTTTTGGCTATTATAGCAAACATTTAAAAATACAACAATCTGTTGTGAAATAGTTATTAGAAATTACTTCATATATGAGGGAAATATGAATTGGGCAAATTGTCCTTAGTTGTGACATGTTAAATGACAGAACTTGGATTTCAGCCAGCTCTGTATGTGTCCTTGCTCCTAGGTACTACACTCTTCTGATTTTAGAAACTTAGAGACCTGTATTTATTTATTTTTTGTCGGTCGTGGGGCTTGAACCCTGGACCTAGGTGTTGTCCCTCAGCTCTTCAGCTCAAGGCTAGTGCTCTACCACTTGAGCCACAGTTCCACTTCTGGCTTTTTCTGTTTATGTGTTGCTGAGGAATGGAACCCAGGGCCTCATACATGTGAGGCAAGCACTCTACCCCTGAGCCACCTTTCCAGCCCTTTTCTTTCTTTTCTTCCCCCTCCCCTCGCCCCCCCAGTCTGGTGCTTGAAATCTGGGCCTAGACACTGTCCCTGAGCTCTTCAGCTCAAGGCAAGCACTCTACCAGTTGAGCCACAGTACCACTTCTGGTTTTCTGATGGTTAATTGGAGTTGAACATCTTACAGACTTTTCCTGCCTGAGCTGGTTTTGAGCCAGGATCTCATATTGAGTAGATAGGATTACAGGCATGAGCCACCAGTGCCCAGCTTCCTACCTTGGCCTTTTTTTTTTTTTTTTTTGGATCAGTCCTGGGGCTTGAACTCTGGGCCTGGGTGCTGCCCTTGAGCTCTTCAGCTCAAGGCTAGTAGTGCTCTACCACTTTAGCCACAGCTCCACTTCTGGTTTTCTGGTGGTTAATTGGAGATCAGAGTCTCACAGACTTTGCTGCCCAGACTGGCTTTGAACTGTGATCCTCAGATCTTAGCCTCCTGAGAAGCTAGGATTACAGGCATGATCCACCAGTGCCTGGCTTCCTACCTTGGCTTTTTTTGTGTGTGTATGTGTGTGTAGGAGGAGACATATTTAGCTTTCAAGGTTTATTTCTTCTTTAGAGTTTATAAAATAGAATGTATAATGTGTTTAAAGTGGATAAAATGTGTTATTTCTGTTCTGTTTGTATTTTAAGATGGTGATGGAATTTCCTGACAATGTGTTGAATCTTGATGGGCATCAGAATAATGGTGCACAACTAAAGCAATTCATTCAGGTAAAGTTTTTGAAATCTGTTTTCAGTGGTATGTGTATATGTGTGTGCACACGTGTGTGCATGCTCATGAGCAAATGTTTATTTTAAAATGTAGATGTTTTAATTTTTTTTTACTTCTAGTCCCTAGATATTAATATTGCCCTGATACTAATTTCATTTTTACTATTGCTGTAGTAAATACAGTTGTATACCTGGTTTATGGACTTGTTATGTGAAAGAGAATTGGTAGTGTGTTAACACTTTACATGTCAACATGTTCTTATTTCATTAGGCCATCTCTCCTGTTGTTTAAGTTTAACCTACAATTTTTCATTAAGAACTTGTTTGGGGGGCTTGGGCACTGGTTACATCTGTAGTAATCCTGGCTATTCAAAAAAGCCAAGATTTGAGGATTGCATTTCAAGGCCAGTTGGGGCAGAGCATTTTTTTGAGACTTACCTCTAACCAGCAGAAAAGTCAGAAGTGGAGATAGGGCTCAAGTGATAAGAGCACCATCCTTGAGTAAAAAAGCTACAAGAGAGTGCCGAGGCCCTGACTTTAACACTCTTCTCCCCCCCTCCACAATTGTATATGTCAACTTTCTGACTTTTTAATTTTCTGAGAAATATATTTTCCATTAAGTGTATGATATGTCACTTGAGGTAATGGAAGATAACCTATTACCTTCCTGTTAACTTGAGAATTCTAAACTGCTTTTTTTAGAAATGTCTTTGACAACTAAATGGTCTAAAAGTGAGAAATACTTTTTGTTGTTTTTTTTTTTTTCAGTCATAGGACTTGAACTCATTCTGTGCACTGTCCTTGAACTCTTTTGCTCATCACTTTCAGCTGCAGTTCCACTTCTGGTTTTCTCATGATTAATTGGAGTTAGGTGTCTCTCAGTCTTTCCTGCCCAGGCTAGTTTTGAACCATGGTTCTCAGATCTCAGCCTCCTGAGTAGTTAGGATTATAAGCATGCGCCACTAGTGCCCAGCAAGAAAATAGTCTTGACTCTCTCTGTTCTTTTCTAGCTCTCCCTGCTCTCTTCTCTCTCTCTCTCTCTCCCTGCTCTCTTGCTGCTCTTTTCTAGCTCTCTCCTCTCTCTCTCTCTGCTCTCTCTCTTTTCTCTCTCTTTCCCAGCTCTCTCTCTTTCCCAGGCCTTTCCCAGCCACGTGGAGTGCTAACCTTGCCTGATCCCAGCAGGTCTACTGAATAAACCTACCCCGTACCTGAAAAAAAAAGAAAAAGAAAATAGTCTTGATAATTGTTTTACTATCCTGTTTTTGATAAAGCTCAGAGTGTTCATTGTAGTACAAGTCCTAGAAGTTATTCCTCGAGTTTTGCCCATTTCTCCACAGCTGTGGTTCACAATCATTTTCTCTCTTGTCATAAACAACAGGTAACATTAATATACATTAACTTTAATTACTCACTGTAGGGTCCTATATAGCTATATAGGTCTAATGAGAATAAGACCTATATAAGAATAATCTGTAATACACCTGTCCATACCTCTAGGATGAGAATTGCTGCTCTACATACTCACCAACCTATGGCTAAACATGTGGTTTGATCAGAAGTTGAGAGGAAGGCATCATAAAACTGCATTTTGACTTTATTCCTTTCTTTGTTTCCTATTATTATTATTATTATTTGTTTTTGGACAGACCAGGGTCTAGAACTCAGGGCCTGAGCACTACCCTTAAGGTTCTTTTTGCTTAAGGCTAGCACTCTACCACTTGAGCCACAGCGCCACTTCTGGCTTTTTCTGGTTATGTGGTACTGAGGAATTGAACCCAGGGCTTCATGCACTCTACTACTAAGCCACATTCCCAGCCCTCAATTTTATTTATTTGTTTATTAGTCAGTCAGTCAGTCATGGGGCTTGAACTCTGGGGCCTGGTTGCTGTCCCTGAGCTCTTGCTCAAGGAGAGCGCTCTACCACTTGAGTGAAAATGCCACTACTTCCAGTTTTTTGAGTAGTTAATTGGAGATAAGCATCTCACAGGGACTTGTCTGCCCTGACTAGCTTAGAACTATGATCCTCAGATCTCAGCCTCTTGAGCAGCTAGGATTATAAGCATGATCCATGAGTGCCCAGTTTTGTTTTGTTTTGTTTTTGTAAAGCTGAGGACCAGGCTCAGGGTCTTGCATGTGCCAGACAAGTGCTCTTCCAGGGCTGGGAAGGTGGCTCAGTGGTAGAGCACTTGCCTTGCATGCATGAGACCCTGGGTTGGATTCCTCAGCACCACAAAAGCAAAAAGAAAAAAGCCAGAAGTGGCGCTGTGGCTCAAGTAGTAGAGCGCTAGCCTTGAGCTGAAGAGCTGAGGGACAGCGCCCAGGCCCAGAGTTCAGGTCCCACAACCGGACCCAAAAAAAACCCAAAAAACAAAAAAAAAAACAAGTGCTCTTCCACTGAGCTAAATCCCAAACCCCTTTTCTTGCCTATTTTCAGTGCTGGTATTATGCCTAATACTCACTGGACAAGTCCTAAATTTCTAGGGTTTTGTCATGTTTGGACATATACTGCTTATCCCTCTCATTGGAAGCAGTGATTTTTATACTCTGGACTCTAGAAAACAAAGGATTATGGAATAAACTCATTATAGCATGGGCAATATTATCTACTTTGCTTTTCTGACCCAATTGAAGATAGAGGTGGCAAACCCCCATGGGTTAGACTTAAATTATACAAAGATAGAAGCGAAAAGAAGGACTAATTTAATGTCTTTGAGAATTCATTTTCCCCCCCTCTTTCTTTTAGCGACATAGTATGCTTAAGCAACAAGATCTAAGTATTGCCATGGTGGTAACATCTCGTGAAGTCTTGAGTGCACTTTCTCAGCTTGTCCCATGTGTTGGTTGTCGTCGCAGTGTGGAGCGCCTCTTTTCTCAGCTTGTAGAGTCTGGAAATCCTGCCCTTGAACCCCTGACAGTAGGGCCCAAGGGAGTCTTATCTGTAACTCGAAGCTGCATGACCGATGCAAAGAAGCTTTATACATTATTTTATGTACATGGGTAAGTATGATCAGGAAAGATGGTTTTGTTAATTTTAAACAGTTTTGTACAGTGGAATGGTTTTTCTGAATTTAATTGAGAAAAAGAGTCCAGGGTTTTTGTTTGGTTTTGTATTTTTGTTGATTGTGAGGCTTGAACTTGGAGTCTGGGCACTGTCCCTGATTTCTTTTGCTCAAGGCTAGTGCTTTATCACTTTGAGCCATAGCACCACTTCCGGTTTTCTGGTGGTTAATTGGAGATAGGTGTCTCATGGACTTTCCTGCTGGGCTGGCTTTGAACCATGATCCGCAGATCTCAGCCTCCTGAGAAGGATTATAAATGTGAGCTACTGGCACCTGTTTTATTGGTACTCATAAAATGACATTATTATGGACTTAATAAAATGAATAAGGGAGCGATGTAGATATCCAGAAGAATGCAGAGAAGAAATAGCAAGCCAGTGGGGGCTGGGAAGGTGGCTCAGTGGTAGAGCACTTGCCTTGCATGCATAAGGCCCTGGGTTCCATTTCTCAGCACCACAGAAAAAGCCAGAAGTGGGGCTGATGGTCAAGTGGTAGAGGGATAGCCTTGAGGTGAAGAGCTGAAGGACAGTGCCCAGGCCCAGAGTTCAGGTCCACAACTGGACCTCCCCCCCAAAAAAAATGTCCTGGAATTCAAGGCCTAATGCCCACTCTTGTAACTTTTTTTGTTTGTCAGCCATGGGGCTTTGGGTTGAAGAGCTGGGGGCCGGGGCCAGGCCCAGAGTTCAGGCCCCAACAACGGACCCCCCCCCCCAAAAAAAAAAATAGCAAGCCAGACAATTAATGGTTGGAATTTCCTGGCATGTCGGAATACCAAGGAAGAAACCCTTAATGGGCTGGAGCTGGATGAATGAAAGGAACAGTGATGGAAGATAAGATCAGAATAATAGTAAAAGTACTTGGGTGTGACAGCATATCCCTGTAGTGTAGCTACTCAGGCTGAGGCAGGATCAGGAGTTTGAAACTAGCCTGGGCTGGATAAGTGAAATACTTACCTCGCTGAGGAAGCAATGCATTGAGTAGAACAGGTTTCTTTCAACATTCTGACAGGCAAGGAGTAGAGAAAACAAGTATACAAATTCTTGGTTTAGAATCAATATGAGCTTTTGTGTGTCTGTGCTGGTCCCTAGGTTTGAATGCAGGGCTGAGGTGCTATCTCTGAGCTTTTGTGCTCAAGGCTGGCACTCTACCATTTGAACCACAGCTACAGTTGGAGCTTTTTTGTCAACTGGAGATAAACATTTTCCCTGCCCAGGCGGTCTTTCAACTGTGATCCTCAGATCTCAGCCTCCTGAGATTACAAGCTAGGATTTACAAGCATGAGTCATCAGCACCTGACTTGAGTCTTTTTTTTTTTTTCTTTTGCCAGTCCTGGGGCTTGAACTCAAGGCTAGCACTCTAAGACTTGAGCCACAGCACTACTTCTGGCTTTTTCTGCTTATGTGGTACTGAGGAATTGAACCTAGGGCTTCTTGCATGCTAGGCAAGCACTCTCCACATTCCTAGCCCTGAAGAGTCTTTTTTTTTTTTTTGGGTCCGGTCATGGGACCTGAACTCTGGGTCTGGGCGCTGTCCCTCAACTCTTCAGCTCAAGGCTAGCGCTCTACCACTTGAGCCACAGCGCCACTTCCGGCTTTTTTCTTTTTGCTTATGTGGTGCTGAGGAATCGAACCCAGGGCCTCAGGCATGCAAGGCAAGCACTCTACCACTGACCACCTTCCCAGCCCTCAAAGAGTCTTTTTGTTGTTGTTGTTGTTGGCCGTGGGGCCTGAACTCTGGGCTTGGGCGCTGTCGTTGAGCTCTTCAGCTCAAGGCTAGTGCTCTACCACTTGAGCCAGAGTGCCACTTTGGGCTTTTTCTGCTTATGTGGTGCTGAGGAATGGAACCCAGGGACTCATGCATACAAGGCAAGCACTCTACCACTGAACCACCTTCCCAGCCCTAGAGTCTTTTAACTCCCATTTTTTTCTGGGGAGTAGGAAATATTTCTCTCTTTCCGTTTCTCCCTACTTTAATCCTGTTAAAATAAATTTTGCTAAAAAATTTTATCTGAGAAATTTTCAGGATAAGTGATAGGCCTTTAATATTTTATACTTCTCCCCAAAAGGCAGTAGTTTTTTTTTTTAAAGAAAATGTTTATTACCTCTTAATAGTTTACTTTTTTATTAGGTCCAAACTAAATGACATGATAGATGCTATTCCAAAAAGTAAGAAGAACAAAAGATGTCAATTGCACTCATTAGATACACACAAGCCAAAACCTTTGGGGTAAGTATAATTTAATGACAAAGTGCTTCATTGTTAAGATAATAAATGTTGATCATATTTAGTAAAAATAAAAACATTACCAGTTTTGGTTTATTAATTGATTATACTCTGACATAGATCAGAATAAATACGTTCCTTGGTTCTATAGGACTTTTTTGCATTTGACTATGGAGAGTCTCTATAGATTTGAGTTTCAAGTTTTTTTTTCTTAAAACTTATGTAGCTATTATCAGCTTTCAAAGTAGTGACATCATTCTTTGACCTATACTCAAAATGTATAAATTACTTTTCTTGCCTTTCTTATTCGTAGCCTTTGTAACTTATCAATGATTAAAAAAAAAAAAAAAGAAAGCCCTGGGTGGGGGTGTGTGTGAAAATATTGAAAGAATAATGCAGATTGAGATGCATTGTATATATAAACTGCTTTTGTGGAAGTGGTGCTGTGGTTCAAGTGGTAGAGCTCTAGCCTTGAGTTGAAGAGCTCAGGGACAGCGCCCAGGCCCAGAGTTCAAGCCCCATGATCGAGAAAAAAAAATAGCAAGAGAAATAAACTGCTTTGTTAAATGTAATACATATTCTATAAAATTAAAAAATGTGAGGGAAAAGGGTGGGCTGGGAGTGATGGGTGAGAATGATGAAAAGAGTGACATTGATCAAGATGCACTATATTCATAAACTGCTTTGTTGAATGGCAACTCATTTGCACAACTACTTCGAGATAATAAAAATATTCAAAAAAAGAAAAACCATAAATCAGTTTTGGCAATGTCTTTTCTCTTCTTTTCTTTTCGCTAGTCCTGGGGCTTGAACTCAGGGCCTGGGCACTGTTCCTGAGTCTTTTTGTGCTCAAGGTAGCACTTTACCTCTTGAGCCATAATGGCACTTCCATTTTTTTTTGATTAGTTTATTGGAGATAAGAATCTAACAGGGTCTTTCTGCCTGGGCTGGCTTCAAACTGCGATCCTCAGGTCTTAGCCTCCTAAGTTGCAGTGATTATAGGCATCAGCCACTGGTGCCTGGCTGGCAATATATTTATGGAACTAATTTGCAACTTTCTTAGTTAGATGCTCCAAAGTCCAAGTCTGCTTTTGCCTCATCTCCTGGCATGGTGCCATAGTTGTCCCCTACAGAATTGCTGTTGGGCAGAAGGGGTATGATGAGAAGTCATATAATTTAAAGGAAGTTTCTAAGAAGTAACTTTTATTTTGGAGAAAATGAGATATAAAACTTCACTTCTGAGTTGAAGTTAATTTTTAAATATCTGAATGTAAATTGGTACCATTGTTATGTCAACATAAGAATTTTATTATAAAACTGTCAAACAGAAGTAGAAATACTCTACAAGTTGGGCTGGTTTTTTTCGTTCTAAATATAAGTTTATTATTACGTTTTTGTTTTTACGTGGTACTGAGGAATTGAACCCAGGGCCTCATACATGCTAGGCAAATACTCTACCACTAAACCACATTCTCAGCCTCAAAGTATCTTTTTACATTGTTTGAATCAGGATCCAAACAAGAACCACATATTACATGCTGTCTAAACATGGAATATACTATGAACCCAGCACAGCTCTCCATACAGCCTAAAGTAGTACATAATGATAATTGTTATCTTATACACTTTGTCAGTATTTTTAGAGATTTTCTCATTTTGAATGCAGAGTTCATTCTAGTTTTCTTGGAAGAGAATGACTTTACTGAAGATACAGAGTAGTATGGTATAGCAAAAAAGTGCCTCCTGGCTCTCCTCCCCCCCCCCCTTTTTTTTTTTGTCTGTGGTGGAGCTTGAACTCTGGGCTTGGGCGCTGTCCTTGTGCTCTTCAGCTCAAGGAGAGCGCTCTACCGCTTGAGCCACAGCACCACTTCCGGTTTTCTAGCAGTTTATTGGAGATAAGAGTCTTATGAACTTTCCTTCTGGGCTGACTTTGAACCTCAATCCTAAGATCTCAGCCTCCTGAGTAGCTAGGATTATAGGCATGAGCCACCACCCGGCTCCCTTCCCTATTTTCTACTCTTCCTTTCCCCTTTCCTGTCTTTTCTCCTTCCCTTCTTCCCTTCATGGGTTTCTTCTGTCCCTTTCTTATTTTCTCCCTCCCTTCTTTCCTTCAAGTATAACATTAAATTCCAGCTAGGAACAATTTGGGTTGTCATTTTTGAGAGTGTTCTTATATCCATGCAAGTAAATCCAGGTTATTATCTGTCTGGTACCTAAGTTTGAGATCTGAAAGAAAAAATCTAGGCCAAAGTTTGGGCCTTTTGTAGCTAAAGATTAAGGATTATCGTAGAGAGTGATGTGTAAAGTTACCTAGAGGGAAAAGAGTAGAGGAAGAGAAAACAATGTTGAAGAATTCATTCTAATAAAAAAGCAGCTAGTAAGGAAAATTGAGAAAGTGTATCCTGATAGGTATGAGACAGCAAGGTAATAGAGTGTTTCAAGAAAGCCTGGTCAGTGGTGGTGAATGTTCCTGAGTCATTGAGGGCCCTATAGTGGACATTGGATTTAGCAACACTGAGATAATTGGAAAGCAGAGCCAGTGGTTGAGTGGAAGCAGACTCAGATTGGAGTTGGTACAAAGGTGAATACATGTTAAGTTGTAATTGAGTAAGTTATGAATTGAAGATGCCGGTGTAAAGTAAAATTAAGTGGAAAGACTTTTAGAAAGCTTGATCTTGAATAAGTTACCATATGAAGATATAAGGGGTAGTTAGATTATGGATACAATCCTGATTAGAGTTGTAGGGCAGTCAATCATAAGTATAAAAAGATGAAATATAAAAATTGAGAGCAGAATTTAACATGGAAGATAGAGCAGGAGTTATGGTTTTTGTTGTCAAATATAAGCGGAGCTGAACCTTGGCTTGAGCCCTTGTGAGTGGAATTAGGAAGCTGAATTGAATGCATGACCTTATTAGGTTGGGATAGGGTTTGAGAAATACTTATTAGCTACGTAGAGCAGGTTAAAGATTCAGAGATTTTTTTTCCATCCCAAGCATCCAGGGCAATGAATTTCTAGGACTGTAGTGAGACCTGCAGAAGAACAGGCAGGAGCCAATTTTTCAGAATCATGAAAAATCAAGAAGACTATCCTTGAATGGAATATAAACACATTTCTCTTGGAATCCACATCTGCAGCAAAGCAAAATGCATGACCACATTGAGACTGGGGGGTCAGGGGAGTCTGGGAAGTTTTTAGTAAGTCTTAAAAAATTACATTGTACTTGTTTAGGCTATGTGAAGTGTCAGTCTTAGTGTACTATATTTTAGTAAATTTACAACTTATTTACTATGACAAATCTATGACTATTCCAGCTACTTATATATATGAAGATAAGATTTTTCTTGCCAAAAAACAGATTAAAAACAAGGAGTGATTTTTAAGAAATCACTTAACGGTTGCATTTAAGTAGATCAAAACTTCTAAGATTTTTCAATTTGTGGAAGATGGATTCTTGTTTATAGGTAAAATACATAAAACTTTTTAAGCTCTTTTGGTTTTAGACTATCCCAAGTATATTTGCTTGTAAAATGCTCAATATGTAAACTAATTATTACTTTGATAACTATAAATACTGTTAAATTGAATTAAACCAACCTGATAGTTAAGCAGAAACTTTTATATAAAGATGTGAACACATTACACTAACATTTTAACATGTTTAAATATGTAATAATTATACAGATTTTATCATAGTAATATCTTAATATGTTAAGAGTTCATAATTTTAATTTAGAGTGTAGAAATTATTTCTTCAGATGATATCAGTGTCACTAAGCTTTGTACCATACTGTACTGCAGTGAAGGGAGCAGTAGCAGTGTCAGTTCAGAGAAGTTAAGTACAGATAAGAGAAGTAGTGAAGACCACAGGAAGGACAGCAAGTGTAGGATCATTTTCCATTATGGACCTTTCCAGGGAACAGCCAGGTAAAATCAAGCAATCCTTTATTCTGCCCTTTAAATAAATCTTTCACCTGTAAATATTCCTCTTTTTCATTAATATTTGTTCTTTTTGCAGAGGTTGTTGGATGGATGTATGGGAACTAATGTCCCAGGAATGCAGGGATGAAGTAGTTTTAATTGACTCCAGTTGTCTTTTAGAAACACTAGAAACATATCTTCGAAAACACAGGTAAGTCTCAAGTACAATGTAGAAAGTGTCTTTGCTATTAATCATCCAATGTGGCCTGTTGCTGACCACTTGATAATAGTACTCCAGCCTTCCCATTAACACCTGGTACTCTACTCCTGTATTTTCTATTCATAACTTATCCATTACAACTTATTGCCAATAGGCAGTTCTTTATGAGATGAATCTCAGTGTTAGCCTTCTTGTTTGAGCCAACATCATGTTCTTTTTTTTTTTTTTTTTTGTCGTGGGGCTTGAACTCTGGGCCTGGGCACTATTCTTCAGCTCAAGGCTAGTGCTCTACCATTTAAGCCACAGCACCACTTCCAGTTTTCTGGTTGTTGGTTGGAGATAAGAGTCTCACGGACTTTCCTGCCTGGGCTGGCTTTGAACCTCGATCCTTACATCTCAGCCTCCTGAGTAGCTAGGATTACAGGTGTGAGCCACAGGTGCCTGGCTGTTTCTTATATTTTTCACCATTGATTTTTAGATCAGCTTTTTAAGAAACAGTGCTTGACTGAATCAATCGCTTTGGAAACTCTAGTAATCCTTTTTATGATAGAATCATTTTATAATGCCATTTAAATTTTTTGCAGCTTTTCACTTCAGTCTTGAGAAGTATTCTGTAATTGTCAAGATCCTTAAAGAGAGTTGGAACTTCTGTGCATCATATATGTGTTTATGTGTGTGTGTGCTAGAACTGGGGCTTGAACTCAGTGTCAGGGTATTGTCACTTAGCTTTTTCCTTTCAAGGCTAGCACTGGTTTCTTACTAGCTAAGGAAGAGTATGAGATCCTGAGTTCAAGCCCAGTACCCACACACACACACACACACACACACACACACATTTTATATATGTAGAACACATTCATCCATTGATTGACATTTAGATTACTTCTGTATCTTGGCTTTCGTAAATAATACTGTTGTGAACAGGGTCTACAAACATTCCTTATTCTATTTTTTTTTTAATTTGTTTTTTGGTGGTTGTAGGGCTTGAACTCAGAGCCTGGGTGCTGTCCCTGAGCTCTCTTGCTCAGGGCTGGTGCTCTACCACTTTGAGCCACAGCACCACTTCTGGTTTTTGTTTTTAATATCTTGCCCCACCCCCTTCTAGTTTTTGAGTGATTAATTGGAGATAAGAGTCTCATGGGGACTTTTCTCCCCAGGCTGTCTTTGAACCATGATCCTCAGATCTTAGCCCCTTTGAGGACCTAGGACCACAGGCATGAGCCATCAGTGCCCAGCTACACAATATATATATAATATATACCCAGAAGCAATATGACAGTTCTATTTTTGAGGAACCTGCAAACTGGTTTCCATGGCACGCTTACTGTTTTACATTCCTGCCAATAGTTTGCCAAGGATCTAATTACATGCCTTATAGTGACCATTCTAATGAATATGAGGTGTGATATCTAATTGTACTCTCCCTCCCTCCCTC